CTTGTGGTGCAGAAAAGTGAGGGGGTTTACGTTCTCGTCGTACTCTACGGATGCGAGCTTGGCCTTCTATGACCTTTCTCGGGCGCTCCAGGTACAGGTTAGGCGCGGGACGGGCTCGTAGTGGTCAAATTCGGAGTAGGAGCCGCGGCCCTGGGTCAGGGAGCGGAGGTACTCTGGGCGTGAGTCCCCGCGCAGACGGCTCAGACGTCCACTCTCAGCTTCAATGATCGTCACGCGGTTTTCGGGGTTCATTCCGAGAATACGGCCGCGCTTGCCGTTCAGGTCACTCATCACCTCGCCTGTAAAGCCATCGGGGACTGTCACCGAAAGACGCATCACCGGCTCCAGCAATATCGGGCTGGCGTCACTGACGCCTTCTTCAAGGCCTGGATGCTGGCAATCTCGAAGGACTGAAGACATCGACGAGTCCACAGAGTGGAAGCTTCCGTCGGACAACACGGCCTTGAGATCCACGATGGGATAGCCCGCCAAGGCACCCTCGTCAGGCGCTTTGACGACCCCTTTCTCGACAGACGGGATGTATTCCCTGGGGACGCGCCCGCCCACCACTTCATTGCCGAACTGAAAGCCCTGGTCGCGGTCCATGGGTTCCAATCGCAGCACGACGTGGCCGAACTGAGCATGGCCACCGGACTGCTTCTTGTGTCAGGTATGTCGATTAGCCTGGGTGTGATTGGTCGGGATGCGTGCGACTGGATTACTCGCGATAGGGCACAGCGGGGAGCTGGACCGCAACTCGAGCCACCGAACTTTCGTCATCTGATCTTGTCTATTGCCACGTCTATCTGGGCGTCACCCAGCCCGGTGATCAACGTCTCACTGGTGCTACGGGTGTGTGCGAGAACAGCGGAGGCTGGTCGGGGTCCTCCTCCAACGATGCGTAGTGAGGGTATGGGACATCTTGTCCAGGTCGGCCTTCGACGCAGGGGACACCGCCACGCGGTAGTAGCCCACGGGCATCTCGATGGGATCGAACTTCACCTGGTTGTCGCGGGCGCACAGGGTGTCGCCGGTGGTGAGGTGGATGGACATACTTGCCGAACGCCCGATTCTCCAGGCAGGGTCTCGGTCTGAGTTAAGATTTATCCGGCTCTTCCCCTTGGGCAGGTAGAGTTGCCCAACGCGTTCGGCCTGGCCCTGGTTGGCGTCCCAAGCTTCGGAGTTGCTCCTGATCGTGCCTTGGTAGACACGGAACAGGGAGAGCTTCCCGACGAATGGGTCGGCCGTGGTCATGAATACAAACGCGGCCAAGGAAGCATCGTGGTCGGCCTCGTAGGCAACCTCGTCGCCGGAACCAGACTTGGTGAGCCTAGGCTTGACGGTCCAACGGCCGAGGGCAAATAAGGAGCCGACCATCTCGAGAATGAAATCGTCCCACGACGACAGTGTATGTAAGGAAGTTGCGAGAATGGGAACCAAACTCACGGAGTAAAGACACAGCAGGGATGATCGATCTCCGCGGTAAGTCGGTCCTCGGCCCGATTGGAGGTTACCATCAGGTGCGGTAAAGCCATTCATCGGCGTTTCCGCAGCGGCCTCGATGAGCCGCTCACGGGCCGCCTCAACCTCATCGGACAAGTCCGCCGGTATGTCGGCGTTGAGGTCTACGACGTTTACCACGCCCTTGAAGCTGTCTGCTGCCCCAATGGCAATCTGGAAGGGGACACATTGCCGACCAAAGGTGGCCTGAACATCAGCCACGTTCCGGTCGAAGTCGGCATTCTCCCGGTCCATCTTGTTGATCACGATGATAAGCGGAAGCTTGCCGGCCTCGCACATATTAAAGGCTCAGCTAGGTAACGACGTAAACGCCATGA